TGATGATGATGATGATGATGATGATGATGATGATGATGATGATGATGAGTGATGCCCCTCGTGTTGAAACGCGCGCCTTTTCGACTCAAAACATGTTTCAGAACCCAAGAAGTTTTTGGCCTACGGAAACACACCAGTCAATGTTGTCTTGTTTTTGTACAAGCATGTAGAAGCCTAAACCCTCCTGAACCCATCAAACATCGTGAAGAAACCCAAGCAGGTGTCTCAAAGAGGCGAAAAACCAGTCCTTCAGCTGTGCAAGGACTCCCTGGACCAACCAAGTGGGAGGGCCTTTTGTTAGGCCAGAAGCACTTGAGCTACGACCAAGGCCCCCGACATGGGATGGTGACCACCAGCCCCAGCCTTCCAAGACCATGAAAAGAATGGCTGACCTGCTTTTGTAGTGTAAAATCCTTGGTAAAGCAATGGTGGCTTGGGAAGACAATTGATAAATTAATGATTTCTGATGTTATTTGGAATTCTGCGGCCAGCATTCCGTTTTTTCGGAACTGGGCCCCTCACGCCATGCGAGGAAGTATGCACCCTGCGCCATCAATGGCACCTGCCAGCGACCATTGGGCAGCACCACGGACACTTGGCCACCAGAGTGACAGATGTGATATCGACGTGTGGGAACAGCATTGATGGCCTTTAGGGGATCCCTCCCAGATAAAACCACCAATGGGTCTATCGGTGTATCTAGCATGATCTAACTAAATGGACCTCTCAAAGGACCTCCTTCTGGTGTCCCAGACGTGTGGCCCTGGTCCGAAGTGCCAAGCTTCACTCGCTCCGTGCACTCATCACAGTCTGATCGACGGGGGTCGCTCGACCGGTCTCGGTGTTGCGTGGACTCATCGTCTGGGCTGGCTTAAGCGAGGTTGGCCACATAGTCCCACTTGGTGGCCTTGGACAGGCAAGCAATGCATGTAAACCGTGATTTCCAGGTCATAGTTGTGCGTATATGCTAGTCAGTAGACATTTATAGACCATTTTACATGACAGAGAACCCACACAAGAAACGCTTGGGAGAACCGTCGCACCATGTTTGTCTCGCAGCTCCGAGAAGCAGAAACGGATGATTGGATGCATTTGTCCTCAGGAAGAGCATGAAGATTTTGGTGAGGCTGAGATGGTGCAAACTGTTAAGATACTCCAAAGTAGAGTATTGTATACTATACTTGGCCCTCTCTACTTGCAGAGCTATTCAGATCCAGACACAAGCTCGCGATGGAGGTCAGGGGCCTTCGTGTTTTCAGGAACAACCACGCACGTTAGGACCCACAAGGACCCACACACACGGATGAAACGGCTGACACCTGGTGTGTGTGTTTTTCCCCTTGCCGATCACTGCACCATGGCTTCGGCGTTCTTCGTCACGACCTCGCACGGACTCCCGAGGTCGGCCTGATCTACTTGAACCCTGAAGGCGGCCATCGGCACGCGTCGCGTCGTCAAGGGCGGCGGAGAGAGAGGTCGGTGCTGGACTTCCATGGCAAATGGCGTGGCGAAGCGGTTCATGGTAGGTGTTTTTGACGGTTTTACGTCGTGAGAAAAACACTTTTGAGGGCCAGGTGAACGCACATCCGAAGGTGGTAAACTTGGTGAGCCCCCATCATCCAGAGCTTCATGTTGGGACCTTGTTCCACTTCTTCGTGTGTGTGGATGTTAACGCGGAGACCCCACCAACCGGGTTGCGGGGATCCCTTCCCATTCCTGCTTGGTAGAGTAGCAAAGTGTGGTTTCTCTCGTTTGCAGGACTGTGGGACATGTCTTCCGCCGCCGAAGCTGCGAGGCAAAGGAGTGGGAAAAAGAACCTACACTCCAAGCAGAATGGAGGTGGAGTTCACTCCCTGTTTGCAGAGGAATTGGTAGTCTTCCCAGGAACTATGGTCACATGTGAAACCGGTGGCTCGACGCCGTGAAACGTCAGGCCCTGTCACCAAGCAGCCGGAGTCTTGGGCGAGCGGAGCATGACCTCCCGACTTCTGCACCTGACGTTGTTGAGACTGACCATGGGGACTGGCGGCCTGCATGGTCCGAAGATTCATTACCTCGAGACCTTTTTCTACCTGATAAAGAAAGGAAGTCTTGACCAACCGGAATGTTCTGCCCCACGAATACCCAAGAATACTGACTCCCAGGTGTAGCTGGACTTACTTTAGCAGCAATGCACAGTACGTCACCATGTTCACTCGCTTTGGGCTAATTATCAGCAAGGACGGTCTAACAATCAGGCAGGGCACCATATGCAGGCTGCTTGTTGTTAGTTGGACCTCAGTTGGTTCTTGAGGTGGCGGCGTTTTCTTGCACCAAAATCGAGTGACAGCATGCAAAACAATTGTCCGTTGCAAACTGGTGGTTCCATGATCCTTCAGTGTAAGGAAAGGGTGCGTTGCATCCCTTTAAAGATACTTTGGCAGAACATCTGGTGGATGTACAAAGATGAATGGGTTCTTCCAACATCTTCCAACTAGTTTCGCAGCTTTATCCTACAACTCCGTTTTCAGACGTCAGGAATCCTTTCTCTCAACAGACACCTCAATCTGGGCGGAGCCGCATTTGATGAACGGTCTCACACAGCAGCAACACCAGACTCAGTGCCAGGAGGAGGGTGGGTGGTGAGCAGGCAGGAGCGAGGTCAGGGTTGGAAGAAGGAGTTGCTGCAATGAATGGTTCAGGAAAGGGCGGCACAATTATAACCTCCGGTTCACCTGATTCTTTCAAACACACAAACATGGAGATCCGCTTCATCCACGTCGCGTCTCCGTTCATTCCCCTCCTAGGATGGACACTACGATGTGGACCCCGACCCCGCCAAGAGCGCCAAAGACATTCGCGACGCCTTTGGGCGCATGGGAATGAATGACTCCCAAACTGTCCGGGATCCCCAGCGGTGGGTACCAGCACGCGGTGGATCCGGGGGGATCTCGGGATCCGCTACACGCGTGGGAACTTAGGTGGTTGGAAAGGGGAACATGTGCGTGTGCTTATATAATATGTTTATATATGTTTGGATGTTTGCCCACATGCTCATTTTGTAACTTCCATGTTCAATTCAGCTATTTGCCACCCAAACAGTGGTTTCACTTGTCAACCTGTACTGAACAGGCGAACGAACACGTGCCTTATTGGTTGAACCGATGGAGAAGTCTTCCCTCTCAAGGTAATTACTGCGGAATTGTGCTCTCTGACTCTACTTTGCAGATACGCCCATCTCAACACTGTTCAGGGTCTCTTGCCGGGATAATTGTTTTGGTGTTAGACTGTTAGACGGGACGTGTTGAATCATGAGAATGTATGAGAGTTTCATGGTCTGCAACACCTGCAGTACTTTTGTCTTCCGTTACGTTGCTGGGCTTCCAAAGACCTCAAACACCCACACACCACACACCTCGCGCCAGCTCGGTGGCCTCGGTCTGGGTGTTTCTGACCGGTGACCGGCCGGTGACAGGTGGCACTCATTGGTGGAGGCCACACCTTCGGCAAAAGCCACGGCGCCTGCCCCGAGGGCCCCGGGCCCGCACCCAATCAGGCCACGGGCCCTGGTGGGTGGCGACGTCGGGTGATGTTGGGAGACGTCGGGTGCGGTAATGATCACCCCGCCATGTTGCTGGTTTCTTCATGTTTTCTTTTTCTCTCGATTTGTCAAGTTTTGGTGATGAAGATGGTTCGCAAAACACGGTTAAGACCGGTCCACCGGTCTTCCTTTTTTCGCATGCTGGGTGACTGCCTGGTCTTCTTTCTGTCAGACTCTTCATGTTATTTAAGTGCTTTGCGAAGAAGAGAGACCCTTGAGTCTCAGCTGCAAGACTCTGTCAGACTGGTTTGTAAAGGACCAGAACATGGTTCCAAAGAGGAAGCTGCACATCAAACAGCGAGGCCCTGATTTGCCTATAGGAAGTGGGAGACTCCATGAGACTCCTCACCCAATGAGTTTTGGCCTTCTTTCCATGGGGGTCTTTCGTTCGGAGGTCTCCCTAGTATGGTCTTTAGTACACACCCAAGTAGGTGGGATTTGCGGGGTTCTGACTAGATATTTGGAAACTATCACTGGAACTCACGTGGATCGAAACTCTAGGCTTGAAGCCTGATGTTTGGAAGACGATGGAAGGCTACTGTAGCAGGATTGCTCCTGAATTGATGACAGTCTACCCGGTACCCTGCAGAACTCATCCTGTCCAGTTGCATGTTGGCAATTCTGGGAAATTGTGAAATACAAAAACCGTTTGTCACAGGAAGGAGGTCGTTGCATCTACTGTATGCGCAAGGTCAAGTAGTGTAAGTCTAAACTGTATACTGTATCTCTATCATGGAGCTATCCCTTCATACAGGGTTTCAACTTGCGACTCCACCATTTCAGCCGTCGTGTTTCGCATGTCAAAACGCTCTCACCCAGGATGTGCACAATCCTTGGCCTGGGAAGTGTGGTACTGGCAAGGGGTACCTGGGCATCCGTTGGGGTGTGTATTTCGGAGCCGCGGCCCTGGGCTGGGTCGATGGGTGCCGAAATCCGAACCGAACCCGTGGGGGGGTCGTCGACCCAGGCCGAGACCGGCTCACCGAAAGCACGGAAGAGGATCCCCCATTTCGACCTCGTGGAAGAATGATCTCTATTGCACTGGAATTCCTATATGATCCTATATGTATATATATATATATATTGGATATATTATTTCTTTTCTTCGCTCCTTTTCTGTGCTCACGAGTGGGCCTCCTTGGGCCTGAAGCAACTTGGAAGTCGCTGTTGTCCCATGTCTTGTCCACATCTGCTTTTCAGTGCCTTGCTGGCTTCGAATCCATTCGTGCTCGCCAGTGCGTGTGCTTGGCACTGCTGGCAGAAAAGCTTCCGACCCTTCCGCCAAAGACGACGTGAACTGTGGCCTTTCCACTGGCCTTCTGGCTGCCATTGCTCATTCCAGCATTTTGTCTGGGCCATGGCAACAAGCTTGTCCCTTGAGGAATGCTTGAGATGCCTACTGCTGCAATTCTGGCAAACCACGTAGTTGGTGTGGATCTGGAAGTCATTCGAACCCATGCCAGGCAAAGAACCTGCTACAACGCTAGACAGGAGATCAACCTTGCTGCCATCTTTTTTTTGGATATATTATATATATACTGTAAATATATATATATATATAATCTATAGTTATTTGTTCAAGTGACCTGGACTGGACAGGAATGGACTGCAGAGAACAGGGAGAACTGCTTTTACTCCTGGTCCCTTGCAGAGAGAGTACGTACAAGAGGAGCACGCTTTACATCACAATGAAGCTCTGCTTATGATTCAAGCATCCCCGACATCAGCCAAACCTTTGACTTTTTCAGGAAAACATATCTGCAGTGGTCTCAGACAAACTGAGATAGATTAGAGTGCCGCAAGTCATAGCTTTGAGATTCGGGAAGGACGTTTGTCTGCCTTGGGGAGTTGAGATGGGCACTCTGTCCACGATGAATATTTGACTTAACATGATTGATCCTTTAGCATGTTTCTGCAACGTGTTGCTTTTGTTTGCAGTGGCTTGCGCAACCTTGACATCACCCTAGTTACAGCTCCCACGGAAAAAAGTTCTGAAAGACATACTTTCTTTATCCCAGTTGATAGCTTTTTTTTTCAGAACACACCTGACAGGACCAGCTAGGACCGACTGGGTTCGGCCAACTGCCTCAGGCAGTTGGATATTACAAGCAAAAACGGGATCAACGTGGATCAACGAGGGTTTGCCATTGCATGCGATGTTGGCCCTCTGGGTCCATTTCGGAAGCGAAGCAACATGTCCGCCTGGCCCAAGCCTCGCCGATCCAGCATCGGCTCGGTGTAGTTCGTACGTACGAGGAACATCTCTACGTTAAAGTGTCATCTTTGTCGGTGTTAGGTATCAAGTTTCCTTCTTTTTGTAGATGCATGATATGATATGATCCAATCAGTCAAGTCACCAGTCGACTGGGCAGCTCGGGGTTTCATCTCAGATCAGCTGAGGAACGACACCTTCACCAGTGGCCACTTGGACAGACCCGATTCGTCCCTTCGCAGACCTGCCCAAGGCTAAGGGCACCAGGGTTAGGGCATGGCCAATCTAGTATGCCACCAGGACATCTGGAGCAAGACACCCCATATCAATGTTGAGCCAACGGCCAATCCCAACTGTTGAGACGGCCAACATCCAACACATCATCTAACATCCAACTGCTTGCTTTTGTTTGCGTCCTCCCTTGTGTCGGCCATTCATTGGCCTCCAGCCACAGCCCGAGTGGCTTTCCCTGCGCGGTTCAACGTCTCGCAGCTTTCCACCGTGGTACATTCTCCCGTCCCAGTTTTCATTGGGTCCTGTGCCGTTGGGCAAGAGGCCGGTTTTGTGGGAAGAACGTGTCCTGCAACAGATCATTTGCTTGAGGCTTGAGGCTTTTTGAAGCTATTCTCGCGGCTATGCGGCTGGGTCCGCCCGCGCGGGTAGAAATGTCATAGAGATTCGGAAGCTTCAGAAACAACATCCCAGCTACAGTCTTTCAACTATTTTGCTGTTTTCTTTCCTTTCCTAGTTTGCCCTGGTATCTGTAGTATAGTATAGTTGTACTGGTTTCCCACCGTCCCGGCTCTACCTGGCTAATACGAACCCCTAGCCAGCTAGAGCCGTACCGTGAAGCCGCTGATGTTTGTTTATGCCGGCTCTACCCTGGCTATTTTTGACCAAATCTTCAAAAACCACCGTTTTAAAGCTGTTTCCAGAACGCCTCAAACATTTGCGTGACCCAAAACCTTCATCAAATGATGTTATTTACGATGTTGTTTGCAGTCGATGTTCGCGATAATGCCCCCCCAGCTAAAGCTGAACTCTTGCGATTGACTATGCCATCCGGATACACACGCCCCAGCACCTTCGGTGCGGGCGGATTTGGGTCTGATAGCGTGGTTGGGTCAGGTTTGACCGTACTCCCGGGCATGTGGGCAGGTTTGAAGACGTCTAGTCTACTGCACAGAGCGGGGCATTTGCTTTGTTTGTTCTTCAAAGCATGGTGAATTAGTGGGGGGACTTGCGCGGTGCCAAACATTTGGTTTGGGCTTGGCCACAGACAATAGGATCCGACTCAGCTTTGCTGGTCATTTTGTGACAGGTCAGGGAAAAGGGAAGAAGTGACCGCCAAGTCGTTGAGTCCATTCGCCAATGTGAAACACTCATGTGACACATGTGTTTATCTGCCAAAGAAGATCCATGACTATATTCTATTTTGTGTTCTTTCTTCACTTGGATCGGCCCAGCTGCCATTGGTCGACCCAGGCATGGAGGGCCCGTGGACCACGAAGCCAACTGAGTGGGCTCGGGGCCCAGGGTGTGAGAGCTTGCCATGGCCCAAACTTTACAACCCCCAAGATGTCTTTTAGATGGAGGCTCATATAAACCATCTCTTGGGGATGGTGCCATCTACTCTGAAACCACTGTTCTGCTGAACGTTCAGTTACAAGATCGGCGGAGACCTCCAAATGACAAGACGTCGTGTCCTCCAAATCATGCGAACTTTGATCAAAATCGATCTGTTTTGAGAGGTGTCTCAGCCATCCAACTGAGCCGCTCTAAGTAGCATCAATTAGGTCCCCAGGTCCCAAACGGTCCCCAGGTCGTGTTGCAGGGGACTTGAGACCAGTCCCAAACGTCTTCAGGAACTTCTTTGCTTCTGGAAAAACGAGTGTTTACCCCCGCAAACTAGCTATAGGAACCTATATAACCACCAACTAGACGTGATTTTTTTTCAGGTTCTATGTTTATCTGCCGGAGGACGTATCTGGTTGTGATTGTGGGGATCCTCTTGCTGGTCTTGGACAAATCGTTGAGGGTTCTTAGTGGGTGCTTCTCGCTCTCATTGGTCTACCGGTCATTGGTCATTGGGCGCCGCTGAAGGTTCCTTTCTTTTTTCCGATGACAGGTTTGGACATGAATGACCCGAACACAGGGTGTGAGAAGAAACGACTTATTGGCAAATCTTCTGAACTTCTGACCTCTCCTTTCTCTTTGAGGTCACCCCAGGATGGCCTGCCAGAGGTTGAGAAGGATGACTTTGTTACTCAAGGTGGCTTTCTATCCAGCCAAAACCCATGTCGGGTGGCTTTTGTTAGTTGACATGTTTTCTTTCCTACTAGTGAGTACTGGGCTTGCATGGCCCATACCACCACCACTCGTCCGAACCGCAAACCGACAATCCTTGTCGCTTGCTCTCCGCGTCGCTCAAGCGATCCCGTGAGGACAATGAGTTCTTTGTGGACCTCCTAAACCGCAGCTGGGAGTTGATCAAAGGCGCAGAGTTCGGTTCGACTCCTCTGGTCGTCGTTGACCGGAGGTCCCGGACGTTGATTGGGTGCTTAAAAAAAACCGCGTGGTCGCGGGGGTTTGCGGAGACTGTTGTAGAGAGATCTTGTTCAAGCGAATAATTTACGGTTGAGGCACCCAACTGGTCCTATTCGGTTTGGAGTGAGAACTTGATTGCCAGCAATTCGGAGACAGAACATTCATTGTGGGAAGTGGACACCCATCTCTTTTTGGGAGTTCTGACGAGGTACGATAATTCCTTATTCTTTTGACGATTTCAAAACCTTTGCTCTGGGCACGTACGTACACTTTCGAGTCTTCTCTCTCCCACCAAGCGAACCAGTCCGTAGCTACAGGCACTCGTACAATTCATGGCCGTGACTGAAGAGCCATGAGCGGCGCCTCGGGCGCCTCGAGGATCGAACCTTGTCAGGGCCAGGTGGACATTGGCAGTGGCAGGTGAAGAATGCCGTTGAGGCCGAGAAGAAGCTCATGAGGCCATGTTCCAAGCCGGAGGGGGGCTGGTGGTGAAGAGGCTAAGACATGCTAAGTAAGGGTTGGGCTGGGCTCTCCAAGTATGAACCATACCCTGAAAGTGCAAGAACTGGAGACACAAATCTTGAGGACGAAGCTGCTTAGGGTTCGTGTCAAACTGATTGCGTCCATCATATATATAGTTATATATTAATATATATATATATACACATCATTTAGTTTTACTGTACCTGGAAGTCCAAGCAACCACAAACAAATGGTTGTTCCAATATGACAATTGAGATACGCTACACAACAAGTGGTTGTCTGGGGAAACATTCAGTTGTTTCTGGTTGTTTGGGTTTCCAGGCGTGAATCTTCTCCCGTGCTTTTGCCAAGCGCTGATCTTCCAATCACTCAGCTTCTTTAAGTCTAAATCCACATGACCGCTGACGGGAAGTGGTCTATTTGGGAAGAGGTTGAAGACTTGCAACTCCACATAACTCCACAAAACGGCCGGTTTTTTGGTTTATGTGCCGGTACGCAGGGCATCGGGCGCTCATACCTTGAAGAATCAACATAATGTACGTTGTCGATCAATCAAGCCACCCATATATGAAGACATTTTTCATGGTTTTTCAATTCATTTTTTTGTTTTAAATCAAGAGTCTATATCTACATTGTCTGTGTTTTGTCTCCTTTTCTTGACTCAGGAGGAATAAGGCGTTTGAAAGGACTCAAAGATCTTTGAAGAGGAAGTTCCTTTCGAAACAGAGGGGTTCCACTTCCATGTGGTGTATGCCAGTGTATTCAGCCATAAAAAGATTAGTGGAACGGACCGTATTGGACCCCTCAAACTCGAAAGCCCAGCTCCTTTCGATTTTGCACGGGTTTTATCCAAACATGCATCAGCGCCAGACTTCTATATATTATACATATCATATATATAATACATTATATATATTATACAGTATACATATACACACATGTTTGCAAAGGTTTGCAAATCCACCCAGGTGCCGATGTCCGAAGCATGTTTCTGAAAAACCGAGGCTCACCAGCGACATGGCCTTGATCCATGATGACATCTACCAAGCTCTCGTGCAGGAACCGATGGCTGGGAGCATTCTCATGCGGTCGGAACAGCCTGAACAGCCGGACATCGCGTGGGAACCGTCGTACCGGCCGTTTCTGGTGTTGGGGATGTGTTGGAGTGCCTTCTTCAGGATGACATCGAAGAGAGGCTTGATCCCGAATGCAAACCAGAGTGCCTGCACCATCCCGGAGGTCCCGGAGAGGGGGAAATGAGGGAACTCTTTGAAGGTGGATCCACTTATATATATATATATACACACCGAAATTGCTTGGGACCCTTCTTCCAGTGATACCCCTCAAGTAGTGACAATGGGATTCTCAGTCCTCAAACCTCTAATTCCTGGGCGAATCAGCTACGCTCAGCCCTTGTGCCACTGGCCTGTGACCAGGAATTTGCACTGAACATGCCGGCCTACGAACGCGCCTTCGATGAGGCGCACCAATTTTTGCGATGCGAACGTGCTTTTCGTTGGTGCTTTTCGTTTGGGGGAACATCCATGGCGCCAGAAACACGTCGAGTGACTCTGTCGACCGTACGGTGCGATATCTGTCTCGACGCGTTTTCGTGCGTTCAAACAGCTGGTCATGAGCCCACTCACGCTATCAGGATCGCCAAGAGCCAAGCACTCAAAACATGTCAAAGCCACATAAAGACCCAGGACGGCTATAAACCCGACAAGAGCAAGAGAGAGCTGGAGAGATTCCGATGCAAACTGTGGCTGCTGACACAGTGGTTCCTGCAGGTGTTTCACTTCACCCCTGCAGTAAGAATTGTTCAACTTGGGTCATGCAGAACCCGCCCAACAATCTCAGAATGAACTGAGTGTTCGTTCAGTGCGGCATGCGCCTTGAGTGATCACACATGTGCCACCGCAGGCATGGTTCAAGCTCACGACCAACGGCGGGCGTTGGTCGCAGGAGAAGAAATGCACCTGTTCTGCAGAAGTTCAGGTTTGGCTGCCTCATGTGAAGACCAGCAACCTGCACGACCCCCTCCCCCCAACACGTGGAAGGTCAACATCAACAAGGTCCGAGGTACCATTCATGAGGCCCACTCCCCCTGAACAATTTGCTAAGAAGGGAGTAGGAGTAGTAGACCCGAGGGACTCTGGGATGTGTGGACATGTTGTGACAAGAGCCATCCATCCGCCATCAGATCATCAAGTCTGAGGATTCCACATGGATGGATCTCACAACCATTCACAACCTGTTACTGTTGCAAAGGGACAAAGCAGCTCATAGGGCCGGGTGGTGGTTTCAGATATGTTTATGTTTAAACCTTCACTTGGGATGATTGAGCGCACTGACTACAGTATGTTTTATCACGTGTATTGACATCACCAAGTTTTCGGGCCATCGGTGTGCCCTTGGTTGGGCACCCTGCTGATTTCAGCACCATGCTGGTGTCTGGGGGTGAATTCATTGGCCTCAAGTTCCTGACATCCAGCTCGATCTGGCCCGAAGATCTCGCAGAGCATATGATGATCTCACAAAGCATGGATGATCAGATGATCTCACAGGCTCCACGAAGTATTTGCTGATGGATTTGGTTGATAAAGTTACAAAGTATCTTGAACTGGTCCGTTCTTTTTTTCGTGGCCACCGGTGATGCCTTTGACGTTGCCAGACTGGTCTGTAAGTGCTCAGAGTATCCCAGGAAGTTGGTCCAGTGGGTTGTATACTCCGGAGAAATCGCCTGCATGTTCATGGCAGATCAGCCTGAGAACATACTCATGTCTTTCTTTGATTAATACGTATATATATATAACTACTATACTAACGTATAATACATTTGTTATATTCGTCCACAGTACCCAGTGACTCTTATCAAAAGGGCTTCGCCAGCTCTATGGCCCTTGCGATCGTTCAAAGGCAAGATTTGACAATTCACAATCCACGTGGTAACTGGATCTACTAGCTGATTTGGAGGACTGTCCGACCATTGTCTTGAATTGGAAGGGTTCTTGAGCTCAAACCCCAAGTTTTCCACACCAAATCATAACATTTGCTGGTTTCATCCCCAAATCCAGCTGCTCTAAGGACCATTCGCCCGTCCAATCCCAGCTCCAGACCTCAGCTCCCTCCCTCGCATCGCCCAATGGCGCTGATGTCACTGGCCCAATGGGTCATGTTCTATTGCCTGTCGCGTGGCCCTTTTCGGCATTGACCGTTTCGGCTCGTCGTTCAGTCGTCCATTGACCGTCTCGGTCGGCGTTCGGTCGCCACAACCCACCAGCTGGTCGGTTCGCTCTGGGCCCGCTCCGAGGCATCAAAGGCGAGGACTTCCCGGTGCCTCAGCGCTCCACGCCACGCATGCGGTGCGCTGGGACGCGCGCGGAAGCGCGGAAGTTCGGTCGACTGTGTTGGGAACGGGGGGATGTAGTAGGGGTGGCTGATATAGGGTTTGGTGGATGATTGAAGCGTCTTGCCACAGATGGGGATGTAGGTCTAAGGCGGATAGCATTGAAGAGTCGTCTCCCCTGAGGCTCCCTCTGGCGAAACTTGATGAAACTTGGGAACCCAGGCACACTTCGTAGGCAGATGATGAACGATATGAAAGATGGAGGTCACAAACCCACCTGCTCTTGGCCCTCAGATCTAAAAGGATCATGTGAACATCTAGAGTGAAAGGATGTGGCATCCGGATCTGACACGTCGACGGTTTCTCGCAGAGAGGTCATGAGCGACATCCGGCATCCCGCCCTGATTTCTCAAGGGATATGAGTAGAAGCTTATAGTGGTCCCAGAAAAGATAGAAACTGTTCCCAACACATCCTTAGTGGTTAGTGATCTACTATTTCTATTTATTTTGGAATATATATATATATACAGGCTGGTAAATCGGCCCGAACATTGATCATGGAGATGCCCCTGTGAAACCCTGGCTGAAAGAAACCAAAAGAAGGACACCCGATGAATGACTTGTTGGTCTTGCGCACAGTGTTGCAGGTATGATGATCCGATCACAGTCTGAGGAAATTCAGCCGCGATCCGAAGCAAGAACCAAATTTCAGGGTCCTGCTTCGCCTCAAGTCACAGCTTGGCAGGCCAAATAGCTCAATTCTAACTTCTGCTGACCACTACACAATGTTGGGATCCAACCCAGAGGTGGAAGTCAAATTGAATTGACATTGGGATTTGACAGCTTTCATGAGGTCATTTGGACCGCAAGAATGCACCACCCGAGTCTCACCTGGCTCCGTTCGACTGCGCAGACGACTGCGCGGAGCATTGGGTCGATTTAAAGACCGCGAGCTCAAAGGAAAGTCGGAGTGGGGGTTCGCATTGGATAGGGCTCCCTCTTTTCAACCCTTACACCACTGGCCAAGAAACGGCAATTGTGAGGGAGAAGGTCCAAAAGTTGTTTTCGGAGGTTTTGAAGTTGAACTCAGACTGCCTTTGACTCACCCTCATATGTTTTGCCTGCAGCCTGCTGCCGCGACTTGCTTTTCCAGCGGCTCAGAGCGCGTCACAGAGGACAGTTCAGAAAAGGTGGGCCTGCACAAATTCAGCTCTGACTGCAGGCTCGATTGGCCCACTTTCAGCTAATTTGTGATATGTTGTGATTCTTAGATTCTCAAATATTCTTAGGGGGTCTCCTTACAAGTTCAAAGAACCCATTTTGGTGGGAGTACCTTGGTGCGTCAATTGTGCTAGGCACTTCAAAGATAAAGGAATCATCATTTCTTCACTATAAAGAGACCTAAAGTACCTCAAGTGCTCACTTCTCCCAAGCCTTTCCTTTCGCCTCAAAAGCACATTCCATTTCGAGTGTGCGGTGGTGGAACTTCCTCCTGACCTGCTGACCCCCCAAGACCAAGCATCACGCCCTTTTCCACTCAGATCATTCAGCCAGACCCTCAGATCGACCTGCCAACCGTTGCAGGTCGACCGAGGCCCTCGGTGCTCGTTTCGTACCTCGGCACCGCTGGGCGGCTCGGCACTCGCACGCCCTCCGAGGCGAGCGAGGCGGTCGCAGGACGTGGTCAGCCCAAGGGTCATGCTTGAGGCCAGGGGGAAGGAGCGGAAGGAGGGGAGGCCAGGAGGCAGGAGGTGGAGGACTGGTGAAGGATCTGCGGAGTTTGAGTCTTAACTAGATGGGATGTTGAGGGGATGGGAGTCTTACTTTGACTATCTTCGACCCTTTTTTTGGGGTAGATTTCAAGGGTGAGTGCTGGCCGAATCAACCTCCGCGAAACGAAAGGAGCTGGCCCGGCCCCAGGAAGGGGGGTGAATGTGTCCTCGTTTTGCTGTCCGGCCCACAGGTAAACTGCAGAGCTTTATTTCTCGGCTGGTGCGACGAAAGTGGGAATGAGCCACCGCTGAATCCTTTCAGGAATCGATTTGCAGGGTGATTGCCCAGTTCCCTGCTCGGAACCAGTTTGTCAGTAAATACTTCCCCCATCTTGTCCCTTCTTGTGGCCAAGGGTAGCAAATCAACGCAGAAATCCACCAGCGCCAGGCTCGCTGCTAAGATTCTCGGGATCTTTCAGGCCAGCCGCACTGGGTCAAGCTCTTTGTTGGACAGGATTTCACGGTCCTCCAAGAAGCAATGGAGGTCCTTCTGTGCATTCCACCCATGACCTTCAATGTGGCTATGACGGTAGAACCATGGTCCTTTTGTTGAACATGGTGCAACCAACTGTGTAACCAACTATGAAGATTGCAACACAAAATACAAGAACATGATAGATATATATATATATTTTGATATATTTTTGCTGATCGATTCTGGCAAGTACCGCAGAAAAAATCTTGGGAAATGACACATACCATATACCAAAACATACTCACAGTCAGCCTACTTGTGACCATGTAGGGGAAGTCTTGGCTGTTGTTGAGGATTCACTGAGTTTTTTTGTTGGAAACTTGAAATTATCCGACTAGGAACCCTTGAACTGGAACTATGTATAGTAGGATCTTGTCGTATATGGACACGATGGGGTTGCTCCATCAAGGCTTGAAGCAGGTCCAGGTTCACAATGGGGCACGTCCAGCAGGTGCTTGGGTTGTTCGTTGGGATTTCAACAGCCCATTCCCAAAAATCTACTAGCAATGGCCTCCAACCTACCAGCGATGGCATCTAACCTACTAGCAATGGCCTCCAACCGACTAGCAATGGCCTCCAACCTACTAGCGATGGCCTCCAACCTACTAGCAATGGCCTGCAACCTATATAATAGTGGTGGCCTCCAACCTCCCATTTGGAAACGGTTTCACCCCCCCGACGCCCATTCAACCTTACTTTGTTGTCCCATGTTGTCCCCGCCTGCAACCTCCGTTCTTTTCGCCATGATTGTCTCACTTGATGTTGCATCCGTTTTTTGTGTCCCGTGTGTGTATAGTCGAATAATTACTGAATACTGTTTGCGAAGGTGATGCAACAAACTCGAGGTGATAACGAATAGAGTAACAAGTAGTTATTGACATGTATTTTTTTGTGTGGCTGCTGGTCTTTGATCCCTGCGTCCACTTCCCAATCATAGCGATGGACCTCGGCTAGAACGTCTCATTCTTTACAACCACTTCGTGAAGTCATTCCCATTCCCATGATCGTCACTGATTTTTCTTTGTCAGGGGAGGCCAAGATGTGACTGTCCACTTATATACTCTTTTGGTATAAGTATATGAGTACTCTTGTATACTCTTATGTGACTGTCCACTTATATACTCCGCATATGACGGCCCAATTTCTTGATCCATTGCCTATACGACGGTCCGCTTCCCTGACGGACACGTAGACTCTCTCCGGGACTGGACCAACCATTTGCCGGATGGAGCCTCGAGGCCGTACAGAATGGTCTTAGCATTGGTCTTTCTAGCTGGTCACATTGCCGGGTCCTCAGAAACGGCTGGTCGGATGAATCGCTCGAACGAATCGCTCGAGTGCCTTTGTCCGACTGAGACGTGTGGAGACGTGTGGGAGTAGTCCCTTTGGGAACGGACACGGAGGAAGTGACAGAGCTGCAGAACCCCCCAGCTGCCGGTCGTGTCAAAATGGATGTGTATATATAAATAGATAGTGAACCCCTCCCAGAGAACCCCTGGAAGGGATAGAAAATTGACCCAGACCATCCCAGACCCAGACAGGTTGGGGGATGATGGGGGTGTCCCCTATTTCAATACAGACCCATCTTGACGCCTCGAAGACTTGAGGGAGATTGGTTTTGCCGGGCCTGCCTGCAAAACCGCGCGCGCTTGTTTGGGGGTTGCGGGTTCATCCCGGCACGGTTGAGACTCCATGACAATCTGATGTGGCAACTGTGACACTTTAAAGCAGAAACCCATTTTGCAGATATTGATCTGTGAAACCACCCCCAATGAATAGGCAAATATGCCATGCATGGAGTGTTTGGTTTTTTGAACACAGGCTGTGCATGATTGCCCACTGACCTGAGGCAGACTACATTGCCAAAGTCCTGCTGTTGGCAGACCTGGCCAGATTGGCGGTGGCTGGTGGTCAGAATCTTTGGGATGTAGACTTGGATCCTCACTGAAAATCCGTCAGGCAGACTTTGATCTCAACTGGCGTTGGCTTCAGTGAAACAGTTGGGTCCAGTTTGCGGACGCCTTCTGCGGGGTTTTTGGCCATCCACCACACGGTGGATTGTTTTGTTCTTTTTCTGGGGGGGGTGGTGAGGAATGAGGAAGTTTAAAACAACATGTGAGGAATGAGTTACCATCACTGTTCTTCACGGCCAGGTAAGTCTGTGGCGTGAGGAGTTCAGAGAACATTTGCTGGTCCTCTTGTGCGCGGGGAGACCCAGGAAAAATGAAAAGCAGACTGTGAAGTCTTTGAAGATGTGTGCCTATCTTCCGAGCATGCACTTGGATCACTAGAGATCTGTCCTAATTTTCAGTTTGCTTGCCATTTCTGAAGCTTCTTAGTCCTATTGTCCTTATATATGTCCTATTATGTCCTTATGGCTTCTGCACTGAAGCTTGATGAAGCTTCGACCCGGATCTCTGGAAGCTGTTGAAGTGCCATGAATCGCGGTGTTCTCGTTGGACCAGGCGCATGTGATGGCAGGGATGCGGAAAGCCTATGAATTTCAGATCCCTGGCCTTGCCGCTGGGTCCGCTTTGAGTGGGGCAGGACTTGGTATTGAGGAAAGGCATGAACACCAGTCAACCAAACGAGGGAAAGAAATTCCAAGAACAGAGTGAGAGAAACTGAGTGAGAGAAACTGAGTGAGAGAGAGAGAGAGAGAGTATGTGTGTTTTGTCATTGTTGAATGCTTCAACTCGTGGAGGACACCGGGACCAGCAACATTTTGCACCACCAACGCGTGTGGCAATAGCATGAATGCCACATGCCAACCCATGTTTCTAGGGCATCCTGCAAGTCAAAGAATGAAAGCCAAATGGCACGTGCATTTGATGTCGTTTTCACGGAGACTTGGAGGCTTCCCCAAGGAAGAACATGAGGGCACGTGAAATAGTTGCTGCAGCGAAGTTCTGACACAATCCTTCAGTATCTTGTCAGCTAGCAGGTAGAGGAGTTGTGAATCAAGAACTACACTTGACACCTTTCTTCTCAGCTTCTGCTCTTCCACAGTAGGGAAATTCTTGCAGATCTTCAGAACTGAACTGTGCGGAGGAGACATCCAAATTCTCCTGATCCAGACGCCTGAATGGGTCGGAAATAAACACTTGGGTTCTTACTGTAGTAGTTAAGGCTGGGCTTCTTAACACTGGACATTGGGTTCTCTCCCCAGTGGCAACTACTAGGTGGCAGCTAGACCCTCTAGCTGAATCAGCCTGACTTAGGCAGCGCTTGTGCTGGTGCCCATGCTGGGTTTGGCGACGCCCCTGCTGGAGGCGGGAAATTAGGAGTTCTCAGTGTTCTCTTTCCGCCCGGGCCTCAGGGGTTTGGGGCAGGACAGCGAATCAGAAGAACGATGGTAACGGTGGCGATCATACTGTATGAACAACATGTCAATCACCACGGGGGTTGGAAAGGCTTGTTCGTGG